AGTGTAAATTCATTATTATTTTAGTTTGTGACCTTGAACCTAACCAATGGTATGGTTGCAATGCATTTTTTAAATTTTTTTTTTAGTTGTAGATGGACAGCATGCTTTATTTTATTTGTTTATTTTTATGTGGTGCTAAGGATTGAACCCAGTGCCCAACACGTGCTAGGCAAGTGCTCTACCACTGAGCTACAGCCCCAGCCACGCCATGCATTTTTATTTGGGCATAAAATAATGATGACTAACTTTGATGAAGTTGTGATTTGAGATCTCACTATGAGTCATCTACCACTATTGCCAGTGTACATGGACAGTAAAAACTGCTTCCTCAGAGATTTTCTTCTGGGTGAGTGTCAGCTCCTGAGTATCACAGAGTTCTTTCACCCTGAGAATCAGGAGAGGGTGATCAGCTGTGGAATCTTAGCTGTTACTAAGTGAGCTATGACCAAAATAGTTTGTTTCAAGTGTAGGAAGTGATTTTCGGGTCACATGTGGTCATACATGTGCACACAGCTGTCAGGACTCATCAGAACTCAGCAGCCATGCACTTAAGAGCTACATCTTTTAAGACTGAATACAAATTAGACCTCAACTGAAAAACTGTGGATTGGAGGTGTGGCTCAATGGTAGAATGCTTGTCTAGCATACACAAGGCCCTAGGGTTGATCCCCAACCCAATGAATGAATGAATAACACTAAAAGCAAACAAATAAAACAAGGATAGAAGGTCACAAGCTCAGGAGAATGATTGCTCTTCATGGAAAAAAAGATAAGACTTATGAATGGGAAAGACACCTAGCCAAGGATAGTATACTTCAGTATGCACATAAGGAAATGCTCTTTTATGGAAATAAAGTGGTATCCTCTTAAAAAAACTCAGTTGCATTAAAAAATAAAGACCATGAAAATGTTTCAGATCAAGGGAGAAAATGCTATAAAGAAAAACATTATTAGAGAGTAGATTTAACTATTATCAGTTTAGATGTTTTAAACTGACAACTCTGCTATGGTTGCATAAGACGGTATCCCTAGTCTCAAGAAATGCATTCGGAAGTATTTAGGGGTGAAGAGCCATGATGTATGTAACTCACCCTGAAATAACTTACAAAGGAAAACTGTGTATATGTGTGAAAAATATATGTGTGTGTATACAAAAGAATTTCCTTATTGCTTACCTTGAGAACAAAAGAAAAAAAAGGATGTTTTGTCCTTGTTGGGTTTGGGTGACAAAGCAAGTTCAGGACATGTGTTTTTCCAACATCTGTGTCTCCAAACAAGGAGGACTTTACCA